CCGCCCGTCGCGCCCCCGCCCAAAGCCGCGATGAGGCTGCTGGCGATCCATCGGATCGAACGCCAAACTCTCGCAGAGTTTGGGCGCGAGCTCATCGGGAGCGGCCAAGAGGGGGGTGTCCAAGAGGGGGGGGCGCAAATCATGACCGGCGGCATGATGCCATGTGCGCGGCCAGCGGGGGGCCAGGGACGTAATGAAATAAGAAGAGGCGCCATGAAATCTGGGGAAATATCATGGCCCCCGCCGTGATATTCACCCCCCCCGTAGTCATCACCCCCTTCTTTTCCGCCCCCGAGCTCATTAAAGCTCGCAAGGATCCCGGCCTTGCCCCGAGAGGTCGGAAGGCCCATGGCGGTGGCGCCTTCGCCCGCCGCGCTGACCGCGGAGGGGAACTGCTCGGCCACCGCGCCTCTGCCACCCACGGCTTGGAACGACGCGGCGTCGATGACACCCTTGAGAACTACAATTAGGGAGCCCACAGAGGACGTGTGCGCCCAGCTATGCGCATGAGCACGGCCCCTCGGCCCGCGAGACCGGCCGCGCGATGCGCACATTCGCGCAGTGCGTACTCTCGAGACCAGCGTGGAGTCATGCGCGTGCACGTCCTCCTTGCGCCCCTGAACAATGGGGCGCAGCCAGGTCAGCGCGCATCGAGAGCACAAGCAACATCAACTTCGCGAAGGATGCGGCGCACGAGCAGCCATCCATCAATAGCGGCCCCGTTCGCCTCCAGGGGCTTGCTCGCGCAGCCCCGCAGGGCCGCGCGGCGGGGGGGGGGGCGCGCGCAGCGTGGCGCTCGAAGCAGAACATCGGGACAACTCGCGCGGGCCGCCGCGGCTCTGATCTCGGCGTGAGATATGTTATCTCTGAGAGGTCGAGCCAGGCTACAATCTCGCGAGACGGGCGATGGGCGACGTGGCATTTTGCAACCGCGCCGATACGTCAGAGGAAGTGGCCCTACTCTGACCCCGAAAAAGGAGGCGAGTGGATAATCTTTTTCCCACCTGGCACACACGAAAACGGATCCTGGACCACGCGCGGGCCACCAACGGAAGGAGGCCACTCGGCCGCGCACACCCCGATCGGTCTACCAGAGAAGACTATTAAAACCGCACATCCGCGCCCATAGGATCCTTCCAGGATTATACAGATCCGCAAGTCGCTGCCCGACGACCCAAGGCAACAGATCAATCGCTCGGTCGCTCTAGTGTGGAAACAGTCCTGGCCGAGGGCTGTGCCTTTAGCAAACTTGCGAATCGTTCCCCAGACATCTTCAGCCGCGAGACGTAGGAGTGAATCGGAAGACAGAAAACAAAAAAAGGAGGGGGGGCGTTCGCCCTCCTCTTTCGCAGAGACCCAGCAATAGGAATCAGCAAGCATCCAGTGCAGGGCTGTCCAGCTTCTCGGGTACATCTCTCCTGCTCGAGGGGGTCTGGACCAAATCGGCATCCATTCCTCGAGCAGCGCTTCCACAGCTTCCTGGCCAGCGGTCGGCTGGGGGCACTCCTCGACGCAACCCAAGAGGGGCGGAGGGTCGGGGCGAGGTCCCGTGGCAGACCGATGTGTACCTCCTCGGAGAAACGAATCCCGCACAAACTCCCTTCGAGCCTGCATGCTTGCATTTGGATCAACAGCGATTCTACTGTCACGTCCACGAGCAATCGCAGAGACGGTGGTAGCCTTGGCGGCATCACCCCGTAACGCGCCCCCCACAGCTAGTCCCGGGCTATGCTTGAACGCAGGCTCCTCCGCCGAGCGACGGCAGTCATCCGTGCTAGAATTCGCCCCCACCAACCTCCCCCGCGTCACCCCCCCTCCCTCTCTAGATAGCCGGCAGCTGGCTGACCAGGCGACGGAGCTGCAGCCGCTTCGCGGTGGCAGGAGGGGATCGGCGTTTCGTGTCTTGACCCTAAGACGAGGTTGAAGAACCTCGTCGAAATTGGCAGCCGTGCTCACGGCCCGCGTGCTCACAAATGTCCTGCGCTGGGATCGTTTGGATGGCGCGCACAGCTTGCTCGGCAACATCAAACCGCTTCTGCAGCGCGACCACAAAGGTCACTCGGAAGGTCCCCATTGGGCCCAGGACCAGGAATACTCGTCCCGAGCGGACCCCAGGCTCTCGTCATCGCCCGAGGCTTCAAGCGAGAAGTCAGCAGGCACGACGCGCCGTCATATCTTTGCCTGGAGAGACAAACCTCCCATCCCCATCCTCGCGGAAACGCGCGGGCCCCCAGGGGCGTCGAGGAGAGCGCGGGCGGAGGAGACATACGGCAGCAGGCAGTGCCACACACCAGAAACATCAGACGTGTGCTGGTCGCAAGTGGCCTCTGGAGGGCCAGCGAGCTGAACCTTCGACGGGGGAGCCCTGCCTGAGGTCTCCAGCAGTTGCAGGTCGATGTTCCGATCACCGCCTGCACACGCCCGGCCGTCCAGACCCGTCAGGATCTCGGCCAGCACGCCGAGGAGGGCGACATCATGTGCCCCCAACTCGTCGTCGGTGACCAGGTGGAGCGATACGACATAGACAGGGGCGGGCAAACCCACGTTGATGCGCTGCGCGCAGATGCGATGCTTCAAGCGAGGTGGCACTCGCGCCACTTCCCGGGCGCTGCCAAACCGAGCCGATGACAGACGTGCCGCGCCGCCAGAACATTCGAGGGCACCCCCTCCACTTGCCACCGCCGATGAAGATGCCGTGCGGAACCATGCCTGTATAGCCCAGGAGCACGCGGGTCCATGCGCTGTCACCGAAACCAGCCGTGTCTGCTGCAGCATGGCCACGTCGGGAAGATCACCGCACCCACACTTGCGCCACTCCGGGAACTCGAGACCCGATCGCCGGGAGATGCAAGTGCAGGCGAAGAGCACGAGCGCAGACCCTCGGTCCACCACAGCACAAGACGCACGTCCGTTGCTGCCTCGATCCTCGTCGGAACGAGCCGACGAGGGAGCAGAGAGACCGTCGCCCCGGCGACGTTCGTGTTGGCGGTGAGGCCCGTGGCCTGCACGCGCCTGAGCACTGGCACTGGCACCCGGGGTGTGGCCCGCGGCCCCCCCTGCGGCTGTTCTTCAGAAGCTCGCTCCCATCACTCCGACATGGCTCCCGCGAGAGGGGGCCCGTCCCTGGAACGCGCAACCTGTGACGCTTGACTCCTGAGCTCTGCTGCTATGACCCCTGGGCTGGGGCTCGGCTGCTGCGACGAATACTGACCTGGCTGAGCAGGGCTGGCCGCTGCGGGCGCGGCCTCTGGCTCTGCCGCTGCCGAGGCTGCAGCGTCAGCTCCGCTGTCGCTGCCTCTTCGCATCCTCGCTGCCTCCTGGTTGTAGGCCTGTGCCTTGGGCTCATTCTATAAGGTGTCCCTCCGAGTACTGATTTCCTCCCATCCTTCTCGTCAAGCTCGTACTCGCCCTCGTCGGACCGGGAGGAAAGGGAAGGCCCAACGACCCCGAAAACAACAAAAAACCTCAGGACCCGCTTCCCTCGGGACATGTTCCCTTTCTGGCGACAGGCGGGGAGATCTGCATCCCTCGACTGCCAAAAGGGGGTTCGGTTCGGCTTGCCCGGCGCGGTCCTCCCGCGGCAGGGGCGGCACCGCCTCTGGTGTCTCCTCGGGGCAGAGAGCGATTCTGGCAAACCGGGCGAGGCGGCCTGTTCCCCAGACCTCCTGGCGTGGCGAAAAATATTGCAGATGCTTCTTGAAAGGCCCTGCCTCACAGTAAGTTTGGACTCGGCCAGTGGCCGCACATGAAGGTATGGTTATACACGAATGGCTTCCTTATTGGCAACCTTATTCCTTATTTGCAACCTTTGGACCTGTCTAGCGGGGCGCTCATATCACCTGGCTATGCGCTGATGTCTATGCAAAGGCGACAACCCGAAAGAAATACGAGAAGCATGCCATTCGAATGCCATGTCAAAAGTCAATCGCATGTCGTGAGTTGGCAACGAGTGGGTAATTGATTACAGGGTCAATGTGATCAGTGGGAAAAGTTCATGAGTGCGCCATTCCAGGGGCCATTTAGTAGACCATGCGGGGTATTGGCGAACTAATACACATTGTAAAGGGGAACGGAAAGAAACGGGACATTCCAATTGGCAATGCGGGGGGGAGCGCAACACAGATTAATACGCGGGGCCCGGAAGAAACTTGCGGGTCACAGCTTTTTGCTCGTCTGAAGGAATACCCTCCATGATGGTGTGGAAACTTGTATCCCCCCATGGTTTTGTATGTATATATATATATATACATCTATATGTGTGTATATATATACATATATATATATGTATATATATATATATATATTATCCACCGGCCCGCGAGACCGCCCTGGGCCCTGTGCTGAACTGGTATACCGAATTCTTGTCCTCGTCTCCCGGAATGACCTCCCTTCCCCATCTTATACGCAGAGGGCTGTGCGCCTCTCCTTCCTCTCCCCCTTCCCCCTCCCCCCTCCCCCTGGGTCTGGACCAGGGGGGGTGGTCAGACCAATGGCCGCAATGGGGCCCAGAGGAGCGCGAGACGGCCTCCGAGATTGTTCAAGATAGCCCCAGATGGATTCAAGATGCCCCAAGAGGCCTCAAGGCCGCCCCAAAGACGGCTCCTAGTGCTTTTCGAGCATTCCAGGGCACCACACAAGAGGGCAAACTCATGCTTCCAACATCTGGGAAATCAGTGCGCTTTGCCTTCCCGCACTTCCGCATCCAATGAACTTTCAAGACCTCGGGATGATCCCAGAACGGCCCCGAGAGCGCTCAAGAGGGCGCCAAGCGCGCCCCCACGCGCACACGCTTCGGCTTGCGAGGGGGGGCACCTGAATGTCAGCTCTCACATGGTTTGCACGATGCGGACTAAGATCACCCCGAGAGGGCGCCAAGACTTCCGAAGAGTCCCAAGAAGACCCCAAGAGGGCCAAACAGATTTCCAAAAATGGTGCCAAGATTGGCCCAGGAGGCTTGAAAGAGGCCTACGAGAGGCTTCCAAAAACTCGCGGAGCAGAACCTCCTCGAAGGCTCTGTGGCTGACTCGCCGTTGCCGTCGTCGTCTTCAACTCCCGTGGGCATCGTATCAGGACCCGCCCGAAAACGACTCACGATGAGAAACCGTTTCCCAGGGAAGTGGTCCAGACCTCAGGCGATCCACACGTCCAGCATCCGCTGTCCTCCGACATCAGAGCGGACCTACGGAAGTTCATGTGCATGCCGCCTCTTATCATGCTGAGTGTCCTTCTCATTGTCCTCGCCGCCACCGCCGTCATAGCGTCGTCGTCCTCAATTGTAGAGTTCTCAACGTCTGAGGATCCCAGTTCCCGCGCCCTCCTACACTAAACATATGCGACCAACACCCCAGCTCCGTCCTGTGTCCTCCGCCATTCCGCCTCCATCCTGAGCATCCGCTTGCATCTCTTCTGTATTCCAAGCCCCTCCATTCCCCCTCGCCCCCTCCCTCACTGAACATCTTGCCCCCCTCCTCCGCACTAATCTCCTTTTCATCGCCATCCTCCCTCTCCCTCCATGCTTGCCCTCGGTCGCGTTCGTCTCCCGTCCTCCTCCACCTCCTCCCCGTCCTTCTCGTCCTGGTCGCCGTTTTCGTTCCCCCACCTTATCGCACCTCCTCGCCCTACTTTTTCTCCTCGACCTCTCCTCCTATCCCCCTACCTTGCTCAAGGACCTTGCTCCCTCCTTGCCTCCATCATTTCCTCGTCCACCTCCGAGTCGTCTTCCCACTTTCGAGCACCGCGTCCTCCCTCCTCCCCCTCCTCATCCCGCCACTCCTGCTCGTTGTGCCCTTCCTCCTCCCCGCCCTGTTTCTCCAGCCTCGACCTCATCTTTCGCACCATTCCACCTCCTCCTCCTCCTTCTCGTGACCCCTGCTCAGACTGCACTTGGCTGCGATGCATTATTTGTGTATATGTGCGGTGGAGGGGGTCCCCCTACTCCTCCTCCTCCTCCTCCTCCTCCTCCTCCCCCTCCCCCCTAAAGTCGCGTGGCAGCCCCCTCCGCCCCATCCTCCTCCTTTTTCTTTCAAGGTGGTCGCCCCTGATCGTGTTGCTGTGAATCCGCATGTTGCGTAACATGACGAACTTACAATACGACTGCCGTGGCCTCGATGAATTGGCCATTTCCATTTCCATTCAAATGTCGACTTGGCGTCGATGACAAAACAACAATAAATATCAAATCGTGGTACGACTCGATGAGCTGCGTGGTCCCGTGCATCCGACATCCTGTACACGAAAACCACCTCCGATTCCTTTGCACACCCACGGCCTGCCCAAACTGATCTGGTATAGCTTGGTGGGTCAAGTTGCCGCCGGAAGATTGCGTGCCCATCGCGTACTGAACAAGGGAATCTGTGCCAGCGATCGCCCTCCAGCCAACAGGGTCCGAATATCTACCTTTGCATCCGACAGGGCCCTGGTATGATTGAACAAATGGTTTTGCACACTGTGGACAGTCATGTTCGTGAGTTGGGTTGATCACAGCCTGCGTGGCATTGGCGAGACCAGCCACCGACACATTGCCCACAACGAACTCAAACAGTAACTTGTTCAACGCGTGATGGTAGAAACTTGCATACATGAAGCTCGTCCAAACTACGAGGTGACATTGGACTCGCAATTGGGTCGCCGATATCCCTGCTGTGCTTTCCAACAGCAAACGAGGCGGTTCCGGAAGCTGTAGTGCTTCGCATGCTTTCGCCGCAAACTTCATGCACCCATCAAGCGGCTCATGGTCACGAGTATGGCTCCACCTCTCCTGCTCCCCTCCTCCTCCTCCTCCTCCTCCTCCTCCTCCTCCTCCTCCTCCTCCTCCTCCCTCGCTCCCGCCCTCCCTCCCCCCGCCAACAGTCCGCCCTCCTCTTCCCACATGCTCCTCCTCGCTCCTCCTCCTCGCTCCTCCTCCTCGCTCCTCCTGCTCCTCCTCCTCGCTCCTCCTCCTCCTCCTCCTCCTCCTCGCTCCTCCTCCTCCTCCTCCTCCTCCTCCTCCTCCTCCTCCTCCTCCTCCTCGCTCCTCCTCCTCGCTCCTCCTCCTCGCTCTCCTCGTCCTCGCTCCTCCTCGCTCCTCCTCGCTCCTCCTCCTCCTCCTCCTCCTCCTCCTCCTCCTCGCTCCTCCTCCTCCTCCTCCTCCTCGCTCCTCCTCTCGCTCCTCCTCCTCGCTCCTCCTCCTCGCTCCTCCTCCTCTCCTCGCTCCTCGCTCCTCCTCCTCCTCCTCCTCCTCCTCCTCCTCCTCCTCCTCCTCCTCCTCCTTCTCCTCCTCGCTCCTCCTCCTCGCTCCTCCTCGCTCCTCCTCGCTCCTCCTCCTCCTCCTCCTCCTCCTCCTCCTCCTCCTCCTCCTCCTCCTCCTCCTCCTCGCGCCTCCTCCTCCTCCTCCTCCTCCTCCTCCTCGCTCCCCTCCCTCGCGACCCTTCGCCCCGAGGCGGCACCCCCCCCCCCACGAGCACATGCCGGGCCCGGCCAGGCGGCGGGCTCTCCTGCCGCAGGTGGCGCAGCGCAACCTCCGTGCGCAGGGGGCAGGCGGGGGGCGAACGGCGCAGGGCGAGAGAGGGGGGGGGCCCAAGACCACGCCCTCGCCGTGGGCGCCGCCTAATTACCTCGTCCTCCGCCTCCTCCTCCTCCTTCTCCTCCTCCTGCTCCTCCTCCACCTCCTCCTCCTCCTGCTCCCCCCCTCCCTCCCTCCCTCCCTCCCTCCCTCGTCATCCCTCCCTCTCTTCCGTCCATCCACCTCCCTCCTCCATCCACCCCCTCCCCTCCCCTCCTCCATCCCCCCCTCCCCTCCTCCTCCTCCTCCCTCCCCCTCCCTCCCTCCCTCCCTCCCTCATCCCTCCCTCTTCCTTCCACCTCCCTGCTCCATCCACCCCCTCCCCTCCCCTCCTTCGCCTCTTCCTCGTCCGCCTCGTTCCCGCCACGGCGGCACGGCCGGAGCCGCCCTGCGCGAGCGGTTGAGCTGTAAGGCCGCCATGCCGCCCCGCATCGGCACGGAGCTGGACTCGAACGAGTCGGGCCAGCCGCGCCAAGACGCACAGCAACGCCAATGCAAAATTCGGGCCGCATCGGACCGTCGGAATATCGGAAGCGGATCGGATCGTGCCGGCGGGAGTCGGTATCGAACAGGACAAGGCGGATCGAAGTGGGCCCCTAAGGGTTGGAAATTGATCAGCGTGTCGCGGCGCTGGCCCCTGCGACACGCTACGAACTGCAAGCTGATAGCGCATCGTGCTGATAGCGTGTCGCTCTGCTTTGTGGGACCAGTTCCGCAATATCCATGAACAACTTTGCATCCCGCACGATGCCGACGGGTTCCTCGCCTCATCGTCAGTATGGGATTCTGCCTTCTTGGCGGTGGTACTTCCATGGCCGCGACCATTTGCGCTGCTTGGGTGCGAGCGTGAGCCAGTGAATATACTTACGTGGCAAAACTTGCACGACAACTCTTCCCATGAATGCGATGTTGCCTCTCCATGCTTCTCATCGTCTCTCACCAAGAGAGAGGACTACCCGTTACCACCTCATTATCTGTGGCTGCTTATTCAACTTCCCGTACTTCTTCTCAAGACTGATGCACACGGCCACTACCAGACCATGTCTATTAGAGACGTCCCTTCAAGCGCCAGCCGTTTTCTGTATCGCCGTGACAACGTTGGTGGCATCCTGCGAGGGCTTTGCCTCGACCTGCTGGACATGCGCGCAGAGCGTCGCTATAAAACCTGGATCTCTAGCCACTGACAGCGCCTGCTGTGAATGGGTGACGACAACCACGTTGGCATTCGGATCGCCGACCGTGCCTGTGGGGGAATCACCTGAAATCGAACCGGATGGCATATTCGGCGAAATAGACCTTACGCAGTCTCTGGGGACATGAAGGTGGAGCGCAGTATAAACGTAGATCACGACCAGAGCTGATATCCTGGCCCCTGGTGACACGGACGCCACTGTATTCGGACTGACCGCATGACTTGCACGCGGTGCAGAGGCGCGACATGATAAGAACACCTCCACTTCAGCCGATTCCTTCGCAGAAACAAGGGCATCTGCAGCGGGTTCTGTCCCTTCAGCGTCTCGGGGCGGCCCCCGACAAAAAAGGGTTCGCGGCAAAACGCCTGAGACCCAAATGGCTGGAGCTCTGGAACAGGAGGGCGGCAGGACGGGGGGAGGGGAAGGGGAAAGGGGGAAGGGAGGGGGGGGGGGGAGGGAGGAGGCCCCGAGGGGGGGAGGGAGGAGGCCCAGAGGGGGGGGAGGGAGGAGGCCCAGAGGGGCGAGGGAGGGCCCCAGGCCAAAAGGGGAGGAGGAACCTCCTCTGGAGAAACGCCCGCCCGCCCCTTGCTGCCAGGGCGGGGCCGCACCTGGGTCGGCTCCCGCCGCCTGTCGTCCCACATCACGCGGCAGGTGCCGGCCTGGACGGACCGGCGGGGGCCCTGGCCCCCCCCTGCGCTCCGTCCTTCCTGCCTCCTTCCTGCAGTTTGCCGGTCCTTTCCTTCGTCCCCCCCCTCCCCCTCCCTATTTTTCCTTCCTGCCTCCCTCGGCCCTCCTCCCTCCTCCTCCCCTTCTTCATGATGATCCTCCTGCTCCCGCTCTTTCTCCTTGCCCTCTCCTCTCCTCTCCTCTCCTCGCCTCTCCTGAACGTCTGTTCCATGCCTCCCTCCCCCGCACCTGCTCAACCACATCGCCCTCCCCCATCCCCGTTCACCCGTCCACTTTCCTCAAAATAGTTCTCCTCCCCTGCTTTCTTTCTCCTCCTCCCCTCCTCCGATCCGTTTCATCATCATAAGCATCAGCATAATCGTCAGCATGAGCAATATTATGCTCCTCCCTCGCATCCTCCAGAGCAACCTCACCCTGCTGCACCTGCTCGTCCTCCTCCTCCTCGTCCTTTTCCTTGTACTCCTCATCCTAGTGGTCCTCCACCTCATTATCATGCTGATGCATCTCCTACTCAAGCCTCACTGTCGACCTCGGCGACCACGCCGCAGTCCCCACCGCGGAAGTTGTCGAACTGCCGACCCTGTCGCAGAGACTGGCATCGAATAACACGTGCTCTATCCTGCCGCCATCCCCGCGTCTTTGGAAGAGGGGATAGTGACAGGGGACACTGACCCTGTTACTAATTGTTGAGCCTCCAGGGGTCCTTACCAGGAGCGTCAAAAACAACTTGGGATGAATCAGGTACCGATCGCTGCACCGACCTTGCAGACGAGCTGCAGCGGATTCTTGCGTGAATTTCTGTCACTGCAAAACCCCGAAGCGGCGGGCGAACAACTACATGAATTTCGCGAGGATTTGTTTCAGTCTTCATATTAGTGGCCCAGAAAATCCGCACCAAATTCACCTCGAAATCTGGAACGAACTGGGCGTGACAAGCTGCTCTGGAACCAGACGCTACACGCCATCTGCCCTGGCAACGTCTATCCCGTCGCAGAATGCAGGTGTCAGGCCAACTCCGCGCGGGCCAGGCCCGGTGTCACTGAGGTCCGGGTTGCGGTAGGTTGGTAGTCTACGTAGGAGGGGCGGTTGTAAATAGAATCCCTGGCCGAGGCCAGGAATAGAAATGCATCTGTCCAGTGCCCAGTGCATGCGTATATTCATCTAATATATACACACGCTAGAACCACGCGCGCGCGTAGATTCTAGCCGACTGCGTGGTCAGTGTCAGTGCACATTGCGAGAATCTACGAAACCCAAAATATGCAAGGAGGGGCTCCCCCCGCAGGAGCCGCCCTTGGCGCGTGGAGGTGTTGGTCCTTTTGGGGGATAGCTGAGGGTTCGGCGAGCAGTCGTGGAGACGCGCGAGATTTGAACAGGGACCGACCGCCCCGGCATTCCGATCGCCCTACCACAAAATGTTCTTAGAACCCAAGAGTCCCACAGGACCGCCAAGAAACCGCCAAGACGTCCCAAGAGGCCACCAAAAAGTGCCCAAAATATATCCCAAACAACTCCGAAATGCATCCAAGAGACCTCTGGCCCTTTTGCTCGCCCTCCTCCTCCTCCTCCTGCTTTTCATTCCTCCTCCTACTCCTCTTCTTCCTCTTCCTCCGCCTCCGCCTCCTCCTCCTCCTCCTCCTCCTCCTCCTCCTCCTCCTCCTCCTCCTCCTCCTCCTCCTCCTCCTCCTCTTCATCCTATTCATTTTCCTTCTCCCCACTCCCTCATCCATCCATCCAGCCTCTTCATCCACGGTTCGGCCGTCCCCCTCTTTGCTCCCGCAGTTCCCTGATCACCCCAACTGGATATAGGTTCTGGATGGTCTGGTGGGGATACTTGTTTGGTTCGCGGCTCCAAGGCGAGGGATTTGAAGCGGGTCAACGTCCGGGGCGCGGTACGAAGATAATTGGCCGCAGTGGCGCATGCACGTGCCAGGGACAAAATGACCCTCATTGAGACGCATACAGCGTCGGCAAGTGACCGGCTCAGACATCCCGGCACAGGGGGACGCAGAGGCGCGGCGACCGGCGGCGGAACGGGGGGGAGAAGTCGCCCTTTCGGCGCCAAGCTCCAGCCGAACCACACACGGAGGCGATGCCAGGACGGACGGCGCGGCACTGTACCGCTGCACCCAGTGACAGGCCTAGACCACATAAGGAGAGGGGGGAGAGTGCGAGCGCGAGCGACTAACTCAGACTCACTGCAACACCCCGGGTGACCGATGGTGCGGCGAAAGAGGGCTGACTCATCAAGGTTCACTGGAGCTAAGGTGTGGCTGAACCGCGTCAGAGCGCCATTCAATAGAGAATGACCACTGGTGTGCGCTCACGAGGCTGAGCCACCTCCAGACGGTAGCCAAAGCGAGCCTATCGTCTCCGACTCACGCAGTTCGGGGGCGCAACGATGCAAAGTACTAACGAGGGCTGGTAGCCGGGGCTGCTCTGAAGAGAGCGACCGCGAACTGCAGAAGGCTGAACCACTCAATGCAGGGCCGCTCACTTGCAAAGGTGTGGCTGATCCACGTCAGAGCGCCATTCAATAGAGAAAGACCACTGGTGTGCGCTCGCGAAGCTGAGCCACCTCCAGCTGGTAGCCAAAGCGAGCACATCGTATCCGACTCACGCAGTTCGGGGGCGCAACGATGCAAAGTACCGACGAGGGCCTGTAGCTGGGGCTGCTCTGAAGAGAGCGACCACGAACTGCAGAAGGCTGAACCACTCAATGCAGGGCCGCTCACTTGACGAAGCCAAACACCGGGTGTCACCGAATGTATGGCTGACAGCTGCACCCAACCACACCTGCCACGCTGCCCGTGCGGAAGCCGAATACCCTGACGCCGGTGGCGTGACGATGGCTGGCGGCGGCCGAGCTGCTGGGCCGTGCCGCTCGCAGGCGGCGTGCTGACAGCGGGCCATAACAGAACCATGGCCGGGTCGGCGACGGACCAGGGCGGGCCACAGGCAGAAGGGGGGCGCAGCCAAAAGCCGCTGAGCACTGGTGTCAATGAGGGGTGTCGGGGCACCGTCCCATAAGAGACCACTGGAATGCTTGCACGAGGCTGACAACCACCAGCTGGTAGCCGGTCCACATACATCGTATCCGACTCACGCAGTTCGGGTGCACAACGATGCAATGTCCCGGCGAGGGCTGGGGCTGTGGCTGCGCCGAGAAGAGCGAAACGAACATGGGCCGCGGAAGGCTGTACCACTCGATGCGGGGCCGCTCACTGACGAAACCAATCACCATGTGCACGGAGGACAGCCACACCCACTCAGCACCTGCCACGCTGCCCATGCAGAAGCCGGGCGCCTCCGACGCCAGGGCCTACGGGTGGTTGTCATCTGCCGGGCTGCTGGGCTGTACCGTTCGGTGGCTGCGCGCTGACGTGCCAAGGCGTACTTAGTAGAACCGTGGATGAGTCGGCGACGAGGGGCCGATACTCCCTGGGCAGGTTGCAGGGCGGGCGCTCTTCTGCGTCCGATGCAATCTACGCTGTTGATCGGGGGGGGCGCAGCCAAAAGCCGCAGAGACGTTGTGAATGAGAGAAAGAAAAGGGGGAGAACAGGTGGCGCAGCCAAAAGCCGCAGAACACGGATCCTGGACAGGAGGAGGAGGAGGAGGAGGAGGAGGAGGAGGAGGAGGAGGGATCAGGGGGGCGCAGCCGAAAGCCGCAGTCACCGATGTATTGAAGGAGGAGGAGGGAAGAACGGCCCTCTGGAAAAGTGTTGTCTGCTCGGAGCCCGCTCTTCCATCGTCGCCTAGCGGTCTCCGAGGTGAGGCACCCGTCGCTGCAAGGGGGGGTCTGGTTGTCTGCCCACTTGGTGGGTGGCCAGCGCCGTCCACTTCCATGGACACGTGTGGGCTCTCTCCAGATACCTCGTCCACGGACGCCTCTTGGTTCCCAACAGGAGCCCCGTTCTCGGCCTCTGGGGGCTGGGTGGACCCTGCTGCTGGAGCTTCGCACTCACGGCCTGACCCCTTGCGGGGGGAGGAGGGGGGCGCGAACGGAATTGGGAACAGGACGGGGGCCCCAGCAGTGCGCCGGCACATGTGGACCACGCAGGAGAGGGTGGCGCCGCCGCCACCGCTGACCGACAGAAACGGGATGCAAGAGTACCAGAGCCACAGAGGGCGGACCCGGGACCAGCGGCGGCCCCCCCGGGAGCCCGGCGCCAGGATGCAAGCCACAGGAGAGCCCGCGGGACACGCAGTCCGTTATCACTGCAGCCGCTGAGTCCACACTTCTGCACGGTACCTCTTGTCCAACGGTCCATTGTAGTTCATCCTCGGCCTCCTGCAGGGGGGGGGGGGGCGAAGCCAAAAGGCGCTGAACACAGGTGCGCGGCGGGGGGTGGAAAGCTGCAGGGACATCCCGGCAGTGCGCCGGCACATGTGGACCACGCTGGAGAGGGTGGTGCCACCGCCAACGCTGACCGACAGGAACGGGATGCAAGAGTGCCAGAGCCACAGAGGGCAGACCCAGGACCAGCGGCGGCCCCCCAGGGGGCCCGGCGCCAGGATGCAAGCCACAGGAGAACCCGCGGGACACGCAGTCCCTTCGCACTCCACACATCTGCACCTCTTGTCCAACGGTCCATCGTTGTTCCTCCACGGCCTCCTGCAGGGGGTGGGGCGCAGCCAAAAGCCGCTGAACACAGGTACACGGTGGGGGGTGGAAAGCTGCAGGGACATCCCAGCAGCGCGCCGGCACATGTGGACCACGCTGGAGAGGGTGGTGCCACCGCCAACGCTGACCGACAGGAACGGGATGCAAGAGTACCAGAGCCACAGAGGGCGGACCCGGGACCAGCGGCGGCCCCCCCGGGAGCCCGGCGCCAGGATGCACGCCACAGGAGAGCCCGCGGGACACGCTGTCCGATCCCAGTGCAGTCCGTGCTCAGGGAGATGCACGGCGCGTCCGACAACAGCTCGTCAGAACCACGAGAGAGAAAGAATGAGACCCCCAATCGCGCTGATGAGTACGGTGTGCAACTCGTAGTCAACAGAGAAGGTGGGCCTCAAAGTAAAATTCCAGACTGTCCACGGCATAGACACACGCGAAGCTCGCAGACAGAGGAGAAATAGACTGAAGTCGACGGTATAGCCACACACGCAGCACGTAGACAACAGCCAAGATGAATAAGTAGAAGTTCTGCACGAAACAGAAGTCGAGACACGTCGCACACAGACACAATCCCTTCCGCAGGCCGCGTTTTGCAGGGCAACGACGGGCCTGCTGCCAGTGACCGCCCCCCACGCACCTGATCCCCGCGCGAGCGATGCCACGAGGGGGGCAGCGAGGCTACTGTGGGGAGGCGGCCCACCACTGTTTTTGGGCTTCTTGGGGGCCTGGTTGTTCGGGTGGCCCTTTGCCGCGTGGCAATCGCTGCTCACTCCGCCGCTCCGACCCAGGTGCAGCTGCCACGGCCGAGTCCAGTCGACGTCTAGGCCCAGCGCGTCGCTGACGACCCGCGCGTCGCACTTGTGGCTGCGGAAAGATTCCAGGGAGAGGTGGCAGGTGTGCGGGTCGTGCCGAAGCGGGTCGAGCGCGCCCTTGCTGCCGGGCACGGACTGCCGCTTGG